GAAGACGCGTGCCGCAACGATGGTGGATAATAAGCCAACGCCTGTTACGCCTAATCCCATGCTAGCTGCTATGAGAGATGTGTCCACACCATCGATGGCATTGATGGCTCAATGGTATTTTTTGTGCAATCTGAGTTGTGCGTTCTCGTTCAAATTGGGGTTTAATTTCGCTTATCCGTCAAACGAAATCCATCGACGGTTTCGAGCGTTTGATACACTTCGTCCATGGCCAGATACAATCCCATCTCGAGTGTATTATAAGTTAGGAAAAAATCTTCAATTGGTCCTCCGTCAATCTTTGATGAATATACATTAAGCTGATGAGGTACAAGTGCTCAGATAAAAAAATGGTCCGGAGTAAAATGAGAGGCTTCTGAAAAACCATGACCCCCTCGTATATAAATACGACGTTTATTTTGATGGCGATCGTGCCAGCATATTTTTAACCACAACAGAATTGCCACATCTTCTGCGGCGGCATCTCCAAGAAAGACTTCATTAATAAGTGTAGAACCTTGTATCACACTGATCCACGAGTTTGGGACTTCAGTATATCTTCTTAATTCAAACCATTTATGTTTATGTTTTCCGGATGGGTGACTAACATATTACCCGTTTGATATGGTAATGTAGATACGTATATATCCCTTTTATTATACCCGGAATAAAACTATTTAGTACGATCACATTATTTTTTGGTTTGAAGACATTACCATCCTCATCCATGACGATATACGGGTAGGTCAGGATGATATTGATGATCCAGTTCAATTCGATGAATTTCAACATCTCGGTCGGGTGATGCTTCCCCGAGAAGGACTTCAATATAAAGCATAAAATTGTTTGGAATCCCTTCAGGGAAATCGGTCGTGTCTTCAAATTCAAGCAAAACTGTAAACTCATATTTCAACAATACGAACCGCATTAGCAAATGACCCGCTTTATTCGGGATGAGGCTCATGAGCACAATTCTTCGTTGTGAGGGTACGTAAGCCGTGACGAGAATCCCCTTATTGAGGACTTTCGTTAAATAATGATCCTTGGACTCCACAAACACGTAGGGAGAAACGAGGGTGATATCGCGTAGCCAGTCGATTAAGGAGGAGATCAGCGTCCATTGGTTATCATCGGTTAGGAACTTGTACAACATGTTTTTGAAGAGACCTCGACATTGTTGAAATCGCCTAGATTGCCATCGAATGCCGGGACCATCACCCATTTGTTATTGTCATTGAAGACGAGATTGTACTCGGTGTTTTTCAAAAGCCCACCGGTAAGACATCATCTGAATCTCCTAGGTTACCACCACCACCACCTTGGACTTCCGCTCGTCTGTAAGTGTTATTTCTTAATTCTAAAACGTATATTTTGCCTTTGACCCCGGGGTCGTCGAAGCCACGTGCGATAGACGAGGCTCGTGTGATAAACGCTTTTTGTGGAAACGTAAATTTGCTAATTTAATCTTTTGAACTAAACACTAATTGTCTACAAAGTAAAACTGAGGAACTAAACGTGATAACAATTATTTCTAATGAGGAACTGAAGAACTAAATATGATAACACTTATGGGTAAAGAACGAATGTGTGAAGAACTAACTGAATGTGTAAACTTTTGCGATGAAGAATTGCTAAGAATTTAACTAATTTCACTAACCCCTAATATCTAATTCTAACTCTAATAATGTTCAAAACCCGACTAATACTAAACTAATCTAACCTCTAACTTTCTTTACTAATTAAACCCCACTAATTGTCCAATGTAATTTATGAATATCTAACAACTGACTGACTTTCCAACCTAACTCTAAATGTTCGTATCGTGTTAGCGAAGTTGAAAACCGAAATTCAATTCAAGTTCTAACATATGAAATCTGGGAGCGTGTCTAGTTCACTCGCAGGCAAATCTCGTGCAGTCAGTGTCTATGCGTTTCCATGAATGTTTTTAAATTCCATAAACACTAACTGAACGAGATGCGTTTGAGTGAACTCTCCCGAACAACATAGTCAGTTAGAGCGTGTCTCTATCAGACATCAGACTGTTGCCAGAAGATATTCATGGATGTCATCACATGCCTTGAAATTAAATTAAGAGAAAACAGAGTCCATTCTTCTGGGACAGGCTGGAAAACGCAAGCAGTGTGACATTACTAATGTGTGTGTCTGTGGAGCAATCATTCCTCTTTCTTCCACTGTCAACGATCTGGATGTTGTCATCGATCAAGGTCTAAGTATGACAGAACACGTCAAGTATGTTACTAAAACTTGCTACTCCCATCTCCACAATATCCAAGGCCAGACCGTTCTTACCAAAGATGCCTCAAAAACTATCTGCCTCAGCCTAGTCACATCTCGTATGGACTACTGTAACAGCCTTTTGGCCGGATCTCCATCTTGTGTCACTGACAACTCCAATGCATACAGAGTTTAGCTGCTCGCATTACGTCCCAGATCACCAGAAAAAAGCACATCACACCAACTCTAAAGGACCTTCATTGGCTGCCCGTGAAACACAGAATCTCCTTCAAACTGTTCTGTCTCGCATACCAGTGCATGACTAACACGGCTCCAGTCTACCTCTCCGATCTTCTTCAGGCTTATGCACCATCTAGATCTCTCAGATCAGGGAATAAACACCTTCTTGTTATCCCCAAAGTCAAACAATCTAAATATGGACACCGTGTCTTCTCCTGTCCCGCTGATAAAAAGATTTCCCCCCACATTTATTTGTATATATTTCTTTTCAAAGATTATAACCATTTTAGAATGATCCGATCCGATGACTTGAAAATTACTTCAAGGGATTTAATTGGGAGAGTGTGAAGCAGAAAATAGTGTTTTCTCCACATCATTTCATTATATTCTTATCTATTTTCATAGAACTCTGCTTTTAGAAGAAAAACTTCAAGCGTAATAATAAGAAATTGATAAATCATAATTTGATATTGACCAACTACATTTTTAAATAAATACTGCTCCCTTCCTGACAGTCTCACCAAACAAAAATAAACATCTCTTTTTTTGTTTCCTACATAACTGTTCTTTAATAACTTGATTTACATTGAGTTGATGAAATGAAGCAATCATATACTTACGAAATGCACAAAACCTACATCTGCTTAAATTCGTCTGCTAGCTGCAACTGTGAGAGAGGGAGTGTTCATTATAAAAAAAAATTAATTTAAAAAAAATATATTTTGGGATTTTCTTTCAATAACATATTTCATGAAATAGAGAAACAAACTTGGATAAAGTTAATAGCCTCAAACTCTAAATATTCAACTCTCCCATTATGACCTTCTGACCTTTTAGCATCCTTTTCCACAACCATTTTGTACAGTGCTCAAAAGTACTATTTGCACCATATTTCAACTTGGAAGCAAACTTTTTATTTAACTAGCATGTCTGATGAATACATAAAACACAATGTCTTGCTTTCATCCCAAAACTTCCACAGGACTTGAATGCTGTACCCATCCTACCAGACTAGAAGGTGAGATCACAGAGAGCGATTTCGAGATCCCCGGCGTGTTATCGATCACGCAGTAGCAGTAAAACGGGCTCACCGCTCGTGATTCCCGAGAGCTTGACGTACATGTTACACATATACGAGACACTGCGGTATACTTTCAACATGAGTGATGCGCTAACGAATATGGAAATTGTGGTGGACGCGGACGGAATGAGTTTTAAAATGAATTTTATCGATATTTTCAAAAAATATATCGTGACCGTCAGTAATGCTAAGGTGGTGGTGAATTGGAATCAAAACCCGATTCAGTTTTGGCAAAACTAACTCAATTTAGCCGTGTGGTGCGCGACGACGGGGTCGTGTATGACACTCGACTATGGAACGGACAAACTGAGTGAGGCGGTCACCTTGTTTCACGTTTATTATCAGACGAGACGGAATTTGAAGGAAATAGGTGCAAGATACAGCATGGACCATGCTCGATAACCCGTACGATCGACGTGTGTACGAACGTATTTGCGGGGAATTTATGATTCCAACCAATAAAGACTTTCACCTTCCCGGTGTGAACCACGGTTTAGGTAAAGTCTACACTTATTTCTATAAATCCAAAACGTTTAGACTCGCTTATACAGACGGTGAGTACATACCCGGGTACCATACGTTTACAGGCCCCACGACGAACGAGCAAATTCACGTTTCGTACATCAAACAAACCGATCCCGATCCGGCCACCGCCTGGATGATAATGATATCGAAAAAGGTGAAAAGGGTTTACTTGCACGGTACCATATGATTCGATTCGAACATACGTGGGGGCCGTGCTGGGCTCTACAGGCGCAGATGCGTTCCCGTATTATCGGTAAGGGAACCGCTTAAGACGCAGAAACAGTTCGTGGTGAACGTCGAGGACGTCATCGCCAAACCGGTGGATTTACCAACGGCCATCAAGCGTTACCAGGACACGTTAGAATGCACCCGGTCGAAAGTCGACTACGCATTCGATCAGAAACTGGGCATCAATCCCGATGTCAACACGAGTCGAGTCCCACCACCCATGCATACCGGCGAAACGGGCATAGTAAAACCACCCCCGGAGCCACCCTGCGTTTGACGCGCACCACCACGCCCCACATCGGCGGTCGAACATCAGCACCACCTCGATCGTGAAACATATATCTCACGCCAAGAAAAAATTACATATCCATTTTTTAAAGATAGATAATCAAGTTTATTAAAACATAGCTACATGTATTACAATGTATGTGATAACTTTTTGAAAACCAAAGTGTTCTGTATAGATACACCTCAGAACAGGATTACGTTAACCAATATGACCGAAAGTACCCATGTAGATAATAAACACTTCTTAGCTGAGGATATGAAAGTAGACACTCGGAGTCATAACAACAGCAGCAGGGATCCCGTTTGTGAAAAAGCAAGATATATGCTGGTCTCTTTCTTTAAGGTGTGTATCTGCACCACTATAAAACACTTCATAATTTTCATATGTCAAGGGAGTAGATTTTGAGGATTTTGCTGGATAGCTCCAGCAACTGCTTCTCCAACTCCCTGCACGAGTCTACGTGACCACTCATACACATTGAAGATGTTTGTGCGTATTTCTTCTCTCAGAACCGCCATCCAAATGCCACCTTCTCTAAAACGTAAGATGTATCGATTGCTTTCATCTCCAGACACGAACTTTACATCAACTGACGAGCACATGACTTCGATGGAGCAATTTTGCCAAACGAAATCTGGCTTCGATTCAAAAAGATCGTAGCAGCCCTGAAGTATCCGTCTATCCTCCCCTTGGATGTCATGCGTCCTGATGAAGTTCGACACATCCGAGTGTCCAACATGCTGTCCACAGTCAATCACCTGAAGCAAAAACAATATTAAGAAAACATACCCTAGACAATGATACTTTCACAAATTTCGTTGAGTCGATTGTCTCGGGATTCATGTGTTTCAAATAGTGATGATGTTAACTATTGGAAAGTTGAATGCAATCTCACAGGTCTCATTGTTTGTATTTCAGGTCGGAATCAAATATCAATTTGAGGGAACGGAGTATTACACACACACACACACACACACACACACACACACACACACACACACACACACACACACTATCATACACACACACACACACACGTCTGAAGATCCTTGGTACAGATATTTTTTCGATTCTTATGAATGTGTGTGTGTGTGTGTGTGTGTGTGGATAGGTGAGTTTTGATCATTTCAAAGCTAAATGATCGGCTATGTTTTATGTTTCATGAATAGAACATTGAACATAATTCAGCATATTTAATATGATTATCCGCCTTGTCATCTGTAACTAAACATCGAAATATAACTCTCACCTCTCCATGAAAATTCCTCGAATTCCCCTGAAACAATAAATAGACGGGTTAGAGCATGTAGAATCATAGAAAGATATCGGTTGCTGTACTGTCACAGGCAAAGAAAAAACTAAAATTGATTCAGGAAAATAAAATAGTGATGGCACTTGGGTTGTAGAAATGTGCCAACATGAAACCATAAAACGTTGAAAATACCAGTTTTCATTTGCTGTCTTTTCACATTGATCCTACTACGAGGGTAGGGTAGTTGATAATACGTGTGCTGTCTGGTATCGTTCGACAGCTCTGGAACATCAACAATATCACTGTACCCTTGCCGAGAGTATTTTCACAGTTGTAAAAAAGCGATTTTATTGGATAAAGATTGGTTTCTAATGACGCTTTTTCGCCACAGCCTGCTTTGATTTGTCAAAATCAGACACGTGACCTAAGGCAGCCAATCATACTACGGCAATGGATACCGTCCCTCGTCAACGAAAACTTTCGTTTTTCATAACGTTGTGACCGATTATTCGGCCTGCGGTGTTGAATGGGTTAAACACGATATGTTTGTTTTGTTAATTAATTAATGACCATCAAACAATGTTGATTCACCGCCAACAAGATTGATGTATACTGTACCACTAAGTGGCTGAGCTGACACTGAGTGAGTTCGCTAATCACGTCGTTAATTGGGTCTTGGGGGGGTAGTAAATCAGTTCGCTATAGCCGTTAATTTGCTACTCACGAGTTCGTTATTCACGTATAAGACAGTACAGACAGACAGATATATTACAGTACAAGGCCTCGTCCCAAAAATACAGTATTGAAATGGACTGATATTGCATATTGAATGCAGTAATTTTAGCTTTAAAGTTCAAGAGTTTACAGGACGTGCGTTGAACACCTTGTACGGGAACATAGCTGTAGCTTGGATTATCTTTTTATCAGTGGATTGCATGAGCTGAGCGAATTTATGCAAAGTTGGGATGTTCAAATAACTGTACAATTCCTTTTATATTTTTTCAATCACTAGGCATATCAACGTCCTATTCGTTTATATCACACTGGCTATAGTAATGACGTTTTCAAATATTTAACCTGTTGCTGTAGAAAAACATTGGAGATTGTAAGGTGTTATTTGAAGACAATGTCCAGGGTTGCTCATCAGATCATACCTAGGATATTATACCCTATTAGTGAGTGAATGAATTTAGTTTTACGCCACACTCAGCAATATTCAAGCTATATGGCGGCGGTCTCTAAATAATCGAGTCTTGACCAGACAATCCAGTGATCAACAGCATGAGCATCGATCTGTGCAACTGGGAACCGATGACATGTGTCAACCAAGTCAGCGAGCCTGATCACCAGATCCCCTTAGTCGCTTATTTTATGAATGATTTGCTGGCGGGCTGGGAGTATATGTTCTCATGTGACAGTGTTTGTAAATGCCTGAATCTGAACTTCTGGAAACATTTGTATGTTCATGTTACCATTGAAATGTTGTTGTTTGTAATTTGAAAGACACTCATGTTTCGTCTTTTCATACAGATAAGCGAAACAAAGGGATTTACTTCAGATTCTGCTAAGGTTTATGTAAGTATTCTTGGCAAATGTAAAAAGCCCATGTGCAGTGAGTGGTTGCTCGTTTTTCACGTGAATTTGTTAACTGTAAATATATTACGCCTGGAATAATATGGTGTAGAGTAAATTTTCTTAAATCAAATTTGGCTGTATTAAGGTTTATTGTCCCAATAAACTCAATAACACTGTGTCTTACAGACTTGCGGGAATAAATTAATACACATGTATGGATATACACTTCTTAGTTATACTGTGGAATTGTCATCTGCCAACTTCATCATTATAGTCACCCCTGTACAACCCCAATATGTAAAATCAATCACGTCCCAGTCTTCTATACCTATATTCAAAATATTATCACCCTCAAGACATACCCGTCTTGGTATACAGGGGTTGTACAACCCCAATATGTAAAATCAAGACAATATGTAAAAACTAACGCAATATGTAAAAGCTTAACGCAAAACGTAAAAACTAACGCAATAGGTAAAAAATTAACGCCAAATGTAAAAAATATCTTAAACGCAATACGAAAACACCTAACGCAAAATGTAAAACCAATTTTTAACGCAATTTGTAAAAGATTAACAGTATATGTAAAATCAAGCTTTTTTGTTGTTTTTATGTCTTGGTGACTGAAACTTTTTAGTAACTTCACTTTATTGTCTTTCAAAATAAGATATTGCAATATTTCTGTCAAAATTAACCTCATTTCTAATTTAGCTGAAATCTGGTCTGTAGGGTCATTAAACATCAAGGTAAAGCCGATAATTGTATTATGTAGAGATACTTTACATCATATTCTATATTCGACAGTATCAAAAGAAATCATTGTATTCTTCATAGATATTTTTTATATAAATGGTCAGATTGGTTGTATTATTCATCATGTCCCGTTCAAGGTTTTACCTTTTGGCCTTTAGTTATCCCACAACTGGCATTCAGCGTTAAGTTGGGGATAAAAAAATACCGTCTGTCCGTTCAAAGAACAGGTTTGGGCGATATCTCAAGAAGTGGTTAATCAATGTTTAATGATATTTGGCACTGTAACAAAGGTTCCACTTGAAATTCTGCATACATCAGTTTGTTGTATTCTTTTCCTTGTTTTTGTTGAGAGACCAGTTTGTTCAGGCTTGTCTTTTTTAGTGGGGAATTAATAGCAAATTATTTTCCTTTTTTGGAGACCGCCTCCGTGGTGTAGTGGTTAGAGCGTCCGCCCGGAGAGCGGAAGGTCGCGGGTTCGATCACCGACCGCGTCATACCAAAAGACGTTAAAATATGGTACTTGTTGGTCCCTGTCTGGCGCTCGGAATTAATGGGTACAACAAGGACTGGTCGGCTCGGAGTCAGTGTCCTGTGTCTGAGTGGGGTCATCATGCTTCACTGCGGCATGGTATCTCAGTGGGCTAGCTCTATAAAACCAGCTTAAGTCTGGGCTAGTACAAGCAGACGCACATACACATACACACGCATGTACGTCGTCATATGAGCGAAATATTCTCAAGCATGACGTAAAACCCAATTTCACCTCACCTCACCTTTTTTGGAATTTATGTATCAGTTACTTTTTGCACCACAACTTAGGGTACGCTCACTAAATTTAGATGTAACGCTCACAACTTCAAAGTCCAAGCGGCACGATAAATTCTGTATGCTACTTCCCACAGAAAATATTGACTTGTTGTTTAAGGTAGCCATTGTGTTGTACCACATACTTATGTTGAGAGAGAAAATGTAAATTGTGAATGGGTGTTTATGGATTTATTGATGTTCCTATAACTCGCGTATTTACAGGTTGCGCATAAATGCACTGTTATTAGTTTACACATATTATTTTACACTTATACAAATAAATCTGTCTGTCTGTCTGTTACTTTTGTGGTAGGCAGACAAATAGTGTGTCTTTTTAATCTCCCCTCAAATTGCATTGATTAAATGCAACAAATCATGATAAAATGTTTGAGACATCCCATATAGGGATTACTTGATTTTAGAGACTGACTGACTGAGTTTTGGTTTTACGCCGCTTTTAGCAATATTCCAGCAACATCACGGCGGGGGACACCAGAAATGGGCTTCACACATTGTACCAATGTGGGGATTCGAACCCGGGTCTTAGGCGTGACGAGCCAACGCTTTAACCATTAGGCTACCCCACCGCTCCTGATTTTAGAGAAAATGTCATATTTATCATGATGTATTTACATGTATTATATTATTCCAAATCTTGAAAATTTCTGTTTAAGTATGAATGTGTCGCTGTACACAAATATCTTTGATTTGGAAATGGTAAATCCATCTCGCAGTTTTAGGTATAATGGACATGCAAGATCCTTCCCAGTGATTCGGGTATTTCAATTCCAATCATATCTGATACCCTTCAATAAAGTCACAGCTAATATTTCTGCCAATGAAATCGAGTAAGACCAGAATACCAGAGACAGTACAGTGGTTTTGTGTAGGTCCTGTCACAGTATCATTTCTGTTAATAATAATAATAATAATAATAATAATAATAATGTGTCCATTTATAAAGCGCCAAACTCCACACCAGGTATGCTCATAGCGCTAACAATCAATAAGGCAGTATTGAAGTCCATGTTACTTTGAAATAATCCAAATTTGCGATTTTTCTTGATTTTTCGCTTCTAATCTCCCATTCCTAAAAGAAATGCACGCATCAAATAAGCGTGATGATAACGTGACTGAAAATACTTGCATGTACATCCATGTATATACAGTGAAATCAAAAGTTGTAGCCTACCTGTGAAATGTTTTATTGTGGTATTGAAAGTGATGCTTGATATGACTTAAAGATACAAATATGAATACAATTACAGTCACCTACAATCTATGCAGTGTATTGAGAATCTGTACTATAGTACTGTCGGAAATAGAAAAAATCTGTTTTAGGCTCTTACTCTGTATCCCTAAAATTTACACAAATGCAAATAGCTTATGTCGAAATAACCCACTTCGGCCTAACTTGGCATTCAGTGGGATGCGTACTAGGATATCCAGAAAAACATGTTTACTCGTAAAATCGGGCAAAACTTAGAAAAAATACGAATAGGTGCTGAAAACAATAGATCAGACTATAGAGGGCAATTAGGTCGCTCAGCCAGGTATGACGACGGACCGTCATGAAATGCATGTGATGCCTACAGCCGCCCAAGGGGTCATCTCAAAGATATTTTGTGCTTTTTCATGTGTGTTGACTATGCCTCATCTATTGATTAACAGCTTATATTTTTTTTGTATAAGTGTCTTTCTTTCATTAAGTTTATGTTGAGATATGTAAAAGAGTTTGATACCTGATAACCATAGAAACGCATCGTATTAAATGTCTCAAAATATATAGGTGGCATGACCGCCCGATCGCGAAGATCGACAGGACTGGATATTATTTGTAAATTGTTATGACATGCCGTTTACTTCCCCAGTATAATTCCCCTTAAGGATTATCGTATCTTAGCTGATATCTCTGTCCCCAAGCCCCACCCCAACGATCGTCTGCGACACCCGTCCAAGTTTTGCTTTTGAGACGAACCCTCCTATCTGTTTCTTTTTATAGTGACAGTGAGACTCCATGGTAGCTACATCCTTAATAGTTTCAGCATGAAAGTTATTATTTTTTACACCAGCTATCGTTTATAATGAAGCTACGTCTAATTTCAAATTGGTCACTTAAAAAGTGTCCTTTATAATACAATATCGTCGCACACTAATTTGCATACAGCC